CCCAGCTCTCAGGTGTGTGTGCTTATATACGTGTGTGCTCGTGTGTCTGCACATGTGTGAAGGCCGAGCGTGGGCCCACACTGAGTGTCTTCCTCATTTGTTCTCCAGCTCATTTTGAGGGGATCTGAACTCAGGTCTTCAAGCTTCAGCAGCAGACACTCAACTGAGCCATCATCCCTTGGGGTTTTGGATGGACTTTTAGACACAGGGGTTTATGTAGCCCAGGCTGGTCTCTACTTGCTATGTAGCTAAGAACAGCCTTGAACTCATGTGCCTCATGCCTCCATCTCCATGCCCAGCCTTCCCAGCTAGAATCCTGAGGGTCTCGTTTCATTCAGACCACAGCTCAGCTGTGATCTCCATTTGGAGGCCTCAGTTTCCACATACTTAAGAAGATCCACATACTTCACACATGGCCTGACCCTTTCGAGGCAGGTACCACCATCCCTAGCCTTATCTCCTGGCTCCAGGCAGCCTTCCTTCCCAAGTGAGAAGTGGGTGGTCAGGTAGTGGGGCCAGGAAAGCTCCCAACTCCCCCCCCTTCTCTCTGCATATCAAAGGGCAAGGAGGGGCAAGGTCCCTAGGCTAGCCTTGGTGAGCAGCCCAGCCGGAGGCTCCCTGGGCAGCCCTAGATTAAATCTCCGGGCTCCTTCGCTCTGCGCCAACTCAACTCTTCCTGTCGCCCATACCCAGCAGCCACGGCTGCCACTTAGCCTTCTGGCATTCAGCTGGGGGAGGGGTCCGTCTCACCATTTTGGGTCCCTGGTGGGTTCTGGGCTCTATGGATATCAGAGGGAGAATTGGCTTATGAGAGAGAGAATTGTATCCTCACCCTCCTTTTCTTAGCTATCTTTTTATTTTCTGTTTTGTTTTTTTTGTTTGTTTGTTTGTTTTTGTTTTGTAAGACAGGGTCTCTCTGTGAAGCCTTGGCTGTCCAGGACTTACCTTGTAGACCAGGCTGGCCTGCCTCTGCCTCTCTGAGCCCCAGGATTACAGGTGTGGGCCACCGGCTTTCTTAAGCTATGTTAATCTCAGCTGTTTTGTGTTTTGTTTTGAATTTTGAATTTCTTCAGTGCTGTGGCTCATACCCAGCGCATGCTAGGTGTGTGCTTCTCTGTGGAGCTGCACAGCCAGGCCTATTCGTTTTACAAATATAAGGCAATGAGGCCTGAAACCTTAAGTCCTAACTCCAGCATAGGAGCTGGCCTCTGACTCTGGCATTGCAAGTTAGTAGTGACCTATCCTTTTCTTGGAGCTGAGCCAGAGTCTGTGTCACCCACATTTACAAAGCTCCTGTTCCCTGTCTCCTTAAAATGCTGGAGGATGCCAGTTCCTGAGATGCAGTTAAGATACTCAGAGCCAAAAGCCTGCCCATGGGAGCTTGGCTAAGATCACAGAACAGAAACAAACTAGACGGAAGGCTGTCAGCTGCCTGTCCAGCCTCTGCCTGCCAGGGGATGAACTCCTCATTGCCAGCAGGGGTGAAGATGCCTCAGACAGGCAGCAGCAGCAGCCTCAGAATAGCAGCTGAAGGTAAGGGATGGACCTAGCTGGGTTAACCTTTAGTGCAGCCTTGAGTCCGAGCCAAGCAAGCGTGCCCACTCCTCCAAGCCTCAACTGCCTGCATATAGAGTAAGCATGGCATCTCTTTCAAAGGGCTATTGGAGTACTCAGACAGCATCTCCTCAAGATGATAAAAGGGTCCCTGGTCATCCAGGCAGCCACCAAGCATCACCGCTCTTTTCTGCTTTGAGATGTAACTCAGGGTTAGTCTACACGAGACTCAGAGACAAGGGATGGGTGTGTGGGTGTGTGTGTGGGGGGGAACAGGGTGGGGTTAATGTTCTGAGAGGCTGGGCTGAGCCTGCCTGCTTCTAGGGGACAAAAAGGGGCGGGAGTTACTTGAGCTGGCTCTTGTTTCTCCAGGCTATCCAGCCTTCCAGGGAACTTCAGCCAGTTGCTTTGGTTGCTTTGATTGAGGTGCACCACCGTCTCTGTAGGAGGTGGCTGGAAAGGAACACAGGGAAGGGAGCTGGGGACTGAGGCTGCCAAACTCCGGAGGATGCTCATTCTTAGTCGCAGCTGACCACCCCAGGGGTCCTCAGCGCTGGGGACTGTGGCAAGGAGGACCTCCCTCTGTCCTTGTCCGTTTGGGAGCTCACCCTACAAAAGTGTGAGTCACAGGAAACTTGGCACTCATCTGGTTTGCCTTGGGGTCAGATCTCTCCTAAAACCAGCACCAAGACCCATGCCCTCTGAGGAAGGAGGGAGCAGCAGACTTAAGAGTTAGGGCATAATGCCTGAACCTAGCTAGGAGCTAGGGGAAGTTGCTTTCGCCCTAGATCGGTTTCCTCCATTGGAAAATGAAGGTATGAGGGAGAGCTTGTGAGTCCAATCCTGTCTGGACCTCAAAGTCCCTCTCCAAGTGGGACACTGCACCCACTTGAGTTTGGGAGCCACCTGACTGGGTCATAGTACTTAGCTACTCTAGTTCTGAGCAGCCACCATGTGCCAATACAGGAACCCTGAAGGGCAGGTGGGATCTGTTATGATTTCTACTGTATCTGTAACTGGATACAGGGGCCTGGGGTTCTACCTGGCCTACAGAGATGGGTGGCTGAACCTTCAGCGTGTGTGTGTTTGTGTATGTGTGTGTGTGTGTATGTATGTATGTATGTGTATGTATGTATGTGTATGCGCATGCGTGTACATGCGTGCGCACGGGATCAGTGACAATCCCTAGGGACTGTCAGACCCTGAAGTTGGAACTAGACCACTTCTAACAGGTAAGGGGAAAAAGCTCCATCGTGTGGCAAAGATTCTGTCCAAGGAGTCAATATCTCCCTCCCTTTTCTTTATCCGCCTAGACTGCTTTAATGACTCATTTTTTATCCCGAGTCCGAAGCATCCCATGATGGCCTTGAGCTTGCTCTGCGGCTGAGGATGGCCCTCCTGCCTCTCTTCCCCCAGTGCAGAAATTGCAGGGTTTATTACTGTGCAGGTCTATGTGGTATTGGGGACTGAACCCAGGGCCTCCTCAGGGTCAGGCAAGCACTGTGCCAGCTGAGCTAAATCCCAGTCCTGGTGCCTATTGTTTGTTTGTTTGTTTGTTTTAAGAGGTGAAAAGGCCCAAGATTCCCCCTGGCCATTTCACCCCTACTGGTAGCCTCTATAATCTATTACTTCAGGAAGAGGCTGAACTCCTCATCGGGATTCCACAAGATTCCACTCACTCTTGCCTCCTCTGAAGTTCTCTCTTCAACTCTCTGTCCCCCCCACCCCAGTCAACTCAAAACATTGGCTGCTAATAGATCTTCATGTCCTTTCCCTGACAGACTTACTGGAGATGGGCCACATCCAAGCAACAGGACTGATGGTCCAGTAACCGAAGAATGAAATGGTCTCCATGTCCCTATACAACCCTCATCTTTTCATTTTGCATTTAGAACCTAGGTACTAATTATGGGTCTCCCTATAATTTACCTAATTTGTTGGGGAGGAATTTTCTCTGGCACTTAATGATAGGCTGAACAGGGTTCCTTGAAACTCTTATTGAAGCCCCTTGTTCTGATTTCGATTTTGCATGTGCCCTCACAGGTCCATGTTTTGAAGGCTTGGTGCCCAGGATGGCACTATTTGGAGCTGAGACCTTGCAGGAAGGCCCTAGGCTCCTTCTTTTTGCTTCTAGGTTCCTGGAGCAAGTGCCCTGCTCTGTCGTGCACTCTTGGGATGACCTCTGTCTTGACGAGGTCAAAAGCAAGTTGATCTAGACTGGAACCTCCAGAACTATGAGCAAAGAACAATGTTCTATTAATTTAAATCACCTCCGGCAGAAAGCAAAAGCAATCCCTACAATCTAGTACGTCAGAATGGGACTGAATCTGGGGGTTGTTATTTTAAAAGGGAATTCAGATTAAATGGGGAAGAGGGACTAGGGAAATGGCTCAGTCTGTAACAGTGCTTGCTCTTCAAGCATGAGGATCCCTGGAGCTCCTGTAAGAAACTAGGCATGGCTCGGTGTGTCTGCAGCCCCAGCATTGAGAGGCAGAGACAGGCAAACCTGAGATGGCCAGCCAGGCTAGCCCAGTGAGTTCCTGGTTTAGTGAGGGACCCTCTCTCAAGGCAGTAAGGTGCAGGCTAGCCCAAACACTGAGCTCTGGTTCAGTGAGGGACCCTGTCTCAAAGCAGTGAGGTGGAAAACAGTGGTAGGGGAAAACAGCCTTAGTCCTTGTTCTGGCTTCCACATGTGTCCATGTGTACCTGCACACGCATATGCATGCAAAACACACACACACAGAGGCACACACACACACACACACATTACTTAGCCTGATTAATAATGCTAGCATGACTTCCCCATGTGGGGGCGTGCACATCTGTACAGCCACATGTAACACACATCAGCCTCACAGAGAGCTACCTACTTATGTCTCTGGAGTGCTGGAATTAAAGGTGTACGTCTCGAGACCATGCCCATCACCCACTTTCCTTCCTCCTTCCTTCTTCCTTGGTTTTCTGAGACAGGGTGTCCCTCTATAATAGCCCTGGCATCTTGGACTCACTTTGTAGGCCAGGCTGGCCTCAAACTCAACAGAGATCTACCTGCCTCTGCCTCCCAAAGGCTGGGACTTAAAGGCATGTGTCAAGACACCCAGTCCATCACGTTTCTTGTAAGAGTGAAAGGGCCCTGTCTCATAGGTGTCGGGGCATCTAGTATCTTCGTTCAGACCTGTTTGTTCATGACTGCACATCACAGCCTGAAGATTCAGCCACCCATCTCGGTAGGCCAAACAAAGCTCCTGGCCCCTGTACCCAGGTACAACGAACACTGTCAGATTGACAAGCTGGGGCCCATGTCAACCTTGGCAGGCCTAGATCGCACAAGGGGAGGAGTAGCAGGCTTGTTACCCACACAACAGAAACTTCTCCTTTTAAAAAGGCAAGGGAGGGAATATACACCAATAAAAGAAAATCAGAAGCAAACAAAATTTTATTGGTCTTCTTTTTCTTTTTAATTAAAACAAACAATAAAACAATTATAAAACCAGCGTAAAAGATTCCAGCCAGCTGTCACCAGCAAGCAGGGCATGAGCCCGCTGTATCCCCCAGACTTAGGCCACCGCATTATCAGAGCAGCTCAGACTGTGCTCTGAAGAGCTCTGAGCCTCTAGAACCTATGGTTCTCAACCTGTAGGTTGTGACCCTTTGGGGGGGGGGTGTCAAACAATCCTTTCACAGGGTTCGCCTAAGACCATCAGAAAACAGATACATTACTGTTTACAACAGTAGAAAATTACAGTGGGGGAGTTTACCACAACAGGAGGAACTGTTTTAGAAGGTCGCAGTATTAGGAAGATTGAGAACCAGATACCCAGAAGTGGAGGGCACTGTCACAGCCCCCTCCAGCCAGGGAAGGTCTCCATTCTCTATTTGTCCCAGACACTGTTTTCATCAACACACCATCCAGGAAAGGGGATGTCTAGCTAAGGAAAGCTCCGAATGTCACAGAAGAGGCCGATAAAGGTATTCCCAAGGCAGCCCCAACTCCACACTGACAGGGTTCAGGCAAGGCCATTAGTAGAAGATATTCAGTGGGGGTCCTTCCAGGTCTTCCTGCCAAAGTTCAGGACAGCCACTGAGCTGTAGGCCTGAGTTGGGGTTGGCACTGGCCACAGAAGGCTGGGGGGCAGGGCTAGAATGCTGGTCCTTGGAGCTGGGCAGCACCTCTGCACTGAGGCCCCAGCAGCCCCACTGAAGTTGAGGCTGTAGTCTCTGGCATGAAGGCCGGGACAGGATGGGTAGGCTTCCCAGGGACAGGCAGGGTTCCGGAGACACAGGAAGACTCTGCAAGAGAAACGGAAGGGCTTGTTACCTGGCCATGGCTTGGAGATCTCAAGCCTGGCTCTTTCCCAGGAGAGTAGCTGGTAGTGTCTTGATGGCCCCGAGGGAACAGCACAGTGGAACACAGAGGTCAAGAGCACTGGCTCCAGAGACCCACTGCCAACCTTCAGATCCTAGCTCTGCTACTCACTAGCTATGAGAAGTCTCTTCATCTCCGTTTTCCCACCTGTAAAATGAGGATGCTAATGCTTCATAGGGCTGTATTAGCAGGGATGAAAAACCAGATACAAGTAAAGTACAAAGAACAGCGGAGGCAGACATTGAGTGCCTGGTAAAACTTACTCATTACTATAATCTTTTATGTACCACAAGGCATTTATGAATGAACGAGTCCCAAAGAAAGCACGCGGGCCACCAACTCCGGAAGAATCTATTCGGGAAGCGCTGCCAATACCCCTCTTGCACTCCCTCTTGCACTGAACTTAGAATTCCCTGACAGTGAAACCCCTCAGCTTCCATCCTGGCTTCTGTTTAAGTCCAAGGGCCACCCTCTCTTCCCCAGGCTGCGGTGACTGCTGCATAGCAGTGATGACGAGTGTGGCAGTGGCTTCCCAGACCTCATCTCTTCCCCTACAGGTGTCAATAAGGCTCCTTCCATTCCCCCCCTCACTGGATAACCTGGGACCTGAAAGGTAGGAAACCCTGAACGAACTAGAGGCCATCCACTGTTTCCATCTGAAGCGTGGGGACCACCGCGGGGGTCCTGAGACCTACCTGGTACACCTCAGTCAGCTCTGCAGGTGCAGTGTTTGGTGTCCAGTGTCCAGCCTGGTTCCTGGGCTCTGGGGATAGCTGCATGTCAGGACAGGCTTGGGGTGGTGTCCACTGAGAGGTGTCAGGGGCTCTCTCTAGGGACTGGTGCAAAGGTGACTGTATTTGGGGACAATAAGGAGGTGTCACCCAGGGGTCCACGTAGGAGATTCTGCTCCCAAGGTTTTCAGGTGAGACTCGGGGTCCAGGACAAGCGGGCGGGGACCCCCAGGACACCCCACTACTGATGGCTGATCCCAGGCCAGGGCCGAGCATCTGAGCCTGTGAGGGGCTGTCGCCGTCGGGGCACAGAGGGCATCGGTGAGAGGACGCAGCGTCCGCACTCCGTCGGCGCCTGCGCCGCAGACCGTCCTCGCTGAGGCCCAGCACGGCCGACAGGTGGCCGATGTAGCGGATGGCCAGGCGCAGCGTCTCGATCTTGGTCAGGCTCTGGCCGGCGGGCGCCACGGACGGCGGCAGGAAGCGGCGCAGCTCTTGCAGCGCGCGGGCGAGCGTGCGCATGCGCAGCTTCTCGCGCTCGCTGGCGCTCTGCCGCTGTCCTCCTGCCGGCGCCGGCCGTGCTCGCCGGGGCGCCGTCGGGGTGGCCTGGCTACTGCGCGCGCTGCGGGCCGGGGACTGCGAGGGGCGGCGGGTGGCGTAGCAGGGACACGATCCGGACGAGTCCGAGGACGAGGCCGGAGACGTGGAGTCCGAGTGCTGGGTCCAGCCCCAGCCCTCGGAGAAGACCCAGTGGTCGAGGAGGCCCGGCAGGCTCTGAGCAGGAGGCGACTGGGCCATGGCTGGTGTGACTCTGGGAAGCTGGACCCGTCACCTCCAGGCCCTAGCTTTTATCCGGACCAAAGGTGTGAGGTGGTCCCCTGCCAGGTTGCAGAGAGGTGTCAAAACCCACAATGCCCAGGGAAGGTCTGGGCAGGGGGGCCCTGGGAAAGCGGGCCCATTTGCGGAGGTGTGGATTCTGACCCCTCCGAGGCTCTAATGGAGGCCCCTGCTGCCGGGAAGTGTGGGAGGGACAATTCACATCTGGATGGAGTTGCTAAGCTTCTCACCGCACCGCACCCGCACTCCGCCCCGCTACTGCGGGTGAGTACAGGAACCCACCGCCACCGTGGATGGCAGTTCCGCGGGCTGCTGGGTGCCTGGCTGTCCCTCCCGTGCTCACCGGCCCGCTTGTGAGGTGGCCACCCCTTCAGCATTAGCCTTTGATGGGCTATGCCTATCAATGCCTTCAGGTGTGCTGGATCGGACTGGCCCAGTGACAGGCCCAGATCCTCTGGGCCACAGTGACGGGCCATGTTGTGGGTTTTCTCAGACACCTCCCCTCCTCCCCGCATTAGCTAATTTGCTGAATGACACTAAGAAAGTCTGCAGTTATCTCCACACCCTAAAAATGGTACCTAGCAGCCCGGAGAGAAAGAATGGGAAAGTGGAAATGGAAGGAAGTGGAAGCCAAAGCCAAGGAAGCCAAAGCCAACGTTATGCCTTGTGTCACCTTGAAGTCGCTTAATTCCTTTGAGCCTTTGGTCCCTCCTCAGTAGTAGTTGCTGCAGAGTGGCTTCTGGCCCTCACTGGAATGGTCCTGAAAGCTCTTACAGTGGGCTTTAATTGCACCTGCCGATTTATAAAGAAGGGACTGACACAGTCAGGTGTGACAAATACTAGTAATTTAGCACTTGGGAGACTAAGGCAGGAGGACTGAGGTAGGGGTGTGAGGTCAGCCTCCACTACCCACTAAGGCCTTGTCCCAGAAAAGAAAAACAAACCAAAACCCGAATACTGCCACCAGTGAGGGGGCTTGCGGCTATAATCCAAGCACTTGGGAGATGGAGGCAAGAGGATCAGGAGTTCAAGTCCATCCTTAGTTACATAGAAAGTGTGAGGTTAGCCTCGGCTACACGAGACTGTGTCTCAAAAAACTAAAACAAATAAAACCCAGCTAGTAACATTTCAGAGCGCTTATGGGCACTTGTTTGCTTTTTTAACCTACCTGAGTTTGTCCTTCTGGTCGGCAACACAGGAATAAGTATGGCGCCTGCTCCCAGGACTGCTGTCAGAAATAGCTGAGGTGACAAAACTTACCAATGACAGGTCCCCCTTAGCAACAATTACTGTTTAAACAAGGCTTCCATGTCCTGCATGATCTCTAGGAAAGGAGCTGAGGTTGAAAGCAAAGGACCAAATGAGCCCCTGGTATAGAGGGGCCTTGGCCACAGAGGCTGATTGGATCCCGCTGGGCCTCGGATCAAGAGCATTACTTCACTAGGGAGAGGGGTCATGGAGAACATTCCAGAAGGGAAAGGCCTGGTGGTGGGATGCAGCTGGCTGCTAGGGTGGTGGTGGTGGTGTGAGGGCCAGGCATGTGTGGAACCAGGCTGAGGAGTTGGGTTTCATTCTCAAGGCCATGGCGAGCCTCTGTGACTTTTGAGCAGAAGGGGAATATAATTTAAAATCTCAGGAATCGGGAAGTCAAGGTCAGTGTGACAAGAGTGCTTAAAAGGGACCGGAGAGATGGCTCAGTGTTTAAGAGCACTTGTTACTCTTACAAAGGACCTGGGTTCAATTCCCGGCACCCACATAGTGTCTCACAACTATCTGTAACCGCAATTCCAGGGGACCCAACAGGCTCACGTGGTGCACAAACATGCAAGTAAACGAAATATTCGCACACACTAAGTAAATAACAATTTGTAAAAAGTTGTCAAGAATTTGGGTGGCAGAGGTGCACACCTTTAACCCCAGCACTCGGGAAGCAGAGACAGGCAGATCTTTGAGTTCAAGGCCAGCCTAGTTTACAGAGTGAGTTCCAGGACAGCCAGGGCTACACAGAGAAACCCTGTCAAAAAAAAAAAAAAAAAGTTTTCAAGAATCTATTTAAATGGCACAGCCTAGAGTGAATAACGGCCTTGTAAATGTTATCATTTTAAAAATTAACTTTATTACATTAATTGCATAACCAAATATTTCACTATGAGAAATAGAAACCCAAGAGATTGAGCCGCAGCTCCCAAAGGCCCTGTCGTGTGACTCTCCGTAGTGACAGCACCGGGAGGTCGGTTGTCCATGGTCATGTGGCTCAGTCACCGCATCTGTGTGAACTCATGTCTCCTTGGGAAGTACAGTCACTCCCCTGGAACTCCTGTGTTGACAATATTTCCCAGCTCAACGGTGGGGAGGGCGGGGCTTTTGGGAGGTGACAGGGCTGTAGGGCTCTGCTTTCCTGACTGAACTTGGCTTAGTCAAAAAAGCAAACCTTCTACTAGGCTCATTTTGTCTTGACACAGGATGGCTTCTGCTGTAGGACGAGGCCACATGTCGGCGACGTGCGTCAGAATGCCCTGGCATCCAGAACTGGAAGGCATCAATTTCTTTTTTCTTTTTTCTTTTGAGGCAGGGTCTCTCTGTTGTGTCCTGGGATGTTCCAGCTGTCCTGGAACTCACTGTGTAGAGCAAGCTGGCCTCACACCTGCCTGTGAAGAGTCCATAGGTGTACACCACCATGTCCAGCTTTTTTTTTTTTGAGGCTGGGTCTCACTCTGTGGTTCAATTGAACGACCTGAGGCTTTATTCTCTCTATTTCTGTCTCTTGATTTATCTCATTGCTTCATTTGCTGGGAGAGTTCCTGCATTTTAGTTTCTACCTGCCGGGAGCTGAGGGTGGGGTGGGCTCAGCGGTTGCCACTTCCTGGCACGTGCAAGAACCTGGGTTTTATCCCCAGTCCTCAAACCAAACAACAAAACAAACTCCTCCTTTTTCTGTCATGTTTTGAATTTTCTAGGAGCTAATTTTAAAAAGTCTTAAATGTGTTTGTTTGTTGTTTGTTTCGTTTTTTCAGACAGGGTCACACTGTGTTGATCAGGCTGGCCACACAGAGATCTGCCCATCTGTTTCTGCCTCCCAAGTGCTGGGATTAAAGGCCTGGCTGCCGCAATTTTATTCTTTCTGTAACAAATGTCTCTGGTAGGACCTGACCGGGGCTCTGTGAGAACACACTGATCCTTCTAAGAACAACCCAGCCACCTCGAATGAGATAGAACTTCTTCAAAGTTCCCAGGGTCTTCCTGCATAGAGCCCATATTGGCCTTGAACTTGGGACTGATTCTCCTGCCTCAGCCTCTCAAGTGTTGACATTGTAAAAGATGCCAACACAGTCGGTTTCCGTGTCACCTATTAACATCCCCATACCAAGGACCAAAATTCTAACTCAGGAACCTATGGAGACATACTCAAACCGTATCAAGTAGGCCACAGCCAAAAGTCTTCGTGAATGACTGTGTCCTTCCCAGAATAACATACTGGAAGCACATTCCATCTTCTCTTCGGAACTGGTGGGGCCTATTGGATGTGGTTCTCAGGACCGGACCCAGGCCTTCATGCTTGCCAACATCTGCAGCCACCTCCTCAGCATCCTTGCACTGGCTAGTTTTATGCCACCTTGACACAAACTCAAGTCATTTGAGAGGAAGGCTGCTAACAAGTCTATAGGGCCTTTTATTAATTAGTAATTGATGTGGGAGGGCCCAGAATACTGTGGGTGGGGCCACCTGTAGGTATATGGTCCTTGGTGCTTTAAGAAGCAAGTTAAACAAGCCACAGAGAGCAAGCAAGCCAGTAAGCAGCACCTCTCCATGGCCTCTGCATCAGCTCCTGCCTCCAGATTCTTGCCCTACTTTGCCCTGAGTTTTTTCAGTGATGAACCGTGGTGTGAGAGTGTAAGAATAATCAACACCCCTCTGATTATTTTTGTTTGTGGTGTTACGTCACAGCAATAGAAATCCTAACTAATACCATCTTGAGATCGCCAGGAGTAAGGATCGTTCCCTCCTTTTTCTGTGCCAGCATGCCCTGGCAAACGTAGTCTCCCCTCCCTCCTCAATTCTAGCTAGCACCTGGAATTCCTTTCCATGTAAATAAAGCACTATCAGCATCCCAGCCCCAAGCAATAATATGAGCCCACCCTGGGGATCCCTTCCCTCTCCCCCAAGGTTCATGTAGTCCTTGTTCACCCCAACTAGAGGGGCACAAGCCGTTTCACCGAATATCGCTTAGGAGTTGTATCATTGGGAAGGCTCCAGGCTAAAAAAAAAAACAGTGACACTGGAAGAACTACTCTTGAAGAAGGCTTTCTCCAGGCATTCACCACTGGACTGGAACCCTCGGACCTGCCCTTTCTCTCGGCGCCTGCATGCTCCGGTGCCAGGCTGCTCCAAAGGGAAGTGGACCCCCGGGGCTGCTGTCTCCCAAGAGAGCTGCAACACTGAAAACCTCCATCGGGCAGCCTGGATGCTCCGAGGGAGGAAGCAAAGCGCAGAACCACACACACAGTGAGGACTGCAAGTGTGGGGAACCATGCCCACCTCTCTCTAATTTTCTTAAGACAGGGTCTCACTCTTAGCCCAAGCTGGCCACGAACTCGTGGAAATGCTCCTGCTTCGATTTCCAAGTGCTGGGAATCCAAGTATTAGCCACTAGTCTTTTCTCTTAGCTATTTGAAAATACACAAGTAGCCATAATCACACTGCTGTGATATAGAACATAGATCTAGAACAGCTGTGGCTCTCTACACGGATATTTTGATCTGCATCTGAAATTTTCAACTGACCGACTGGGATGTAGTTCAGTGTTAAGGCACTGGCCTACCATGGCCAAGGCCCTAGGTCAGGCCCCAGAACCACAGAAACAGTCACTTGAAATTTTAGATAAAATTTTCTCTTGGTATTTCTAAATCAGCCTCTAGGAACAAAAATCCCTCCATTTGTTATAGATTTGTCTGTGAGCGCCC